TCACACTATATTATTCACCAGCATTTTAGAAGCAATCAGTTAAATAAATGAATGAATTAAATCTTATCCATCTCTGTCAGGCAAAGGATACAGTACTCATTTAACAGGACAAGCAGAGCTGTATCTCTTCTTCGAAAGCTGGAATCTTTTAGCTTAATCTATATTTAAGTGAGCATAAACTGTATGCTGTATCAGTAGCACTCAGTAAGTCGAATTGTCTGACTGTAAGGAAGCGAAAGAGCCTGACCCTTCTTTTACAACGTTGCTGATATCTCTATTCTGTTTCATCACTGAAATTAAATCCAGTCAAAGACCAGCATAGGTCATGTATTGGCTACCAATTAAGAAAAGGAACAAAGACTCCAAATAAAAATAGTAATATCATAGACTTTCCTTCTGTTTCCCTTTCCTGAGTGAACCATGGAAAGGGAAAGAAGGAGAAAAATACATTTTTATTTGTGATGTATCTAGCTTGTGCATGTGGTTGTTAGAATAGACAAGCTATCCTCACAATGCACGTTTGACTTTTGAACCTAATTTGCATGTAAGTATACTGGTAAGTATATGGGTAGTTTCAGGGGAGCCAAGGGTTATCAAAATACTATAGTATCACTGAATCACTGTGTCATGTTCTACACGGAACCAGAAGTCTTATGTTTGTGTCACTAATGACAGCATACTGCAGACATCAGTCATGCAAGCTCCCTCAGTGAACCACTTATGAATCCTGTTGTTTGCAGGCATCAGTACATGTGAAAGAACAAAGAAATCACAGGAAATTACCTTAACTGGACAAGAAATACGCTGCACATAGTTACTAGTATAAGATTAAACTGAGAACTGTATTTTTCAAAAAGATTAAAAGAAGAATGTGCTTTTTGAGCTCATGTTTTTAGTGTAAATTTTAAGATTTAAAATACCTTGCATGAATATTTATGCTGTGATTTTTATTTACATCCAATCATCTTTTATTGTGATTTGTTAGAAATATTGCTTGATAGGTCCCAGCCTGTTGACCCTAACATCTAGAAGATGTTTATGGAGTTTTTTGCAGGATTCTACTGCTCCTGGACTGGTCTTTCTATAATTGAGTATAAATAAAGCAGGTTTTTTCAAGTGGTTAATTTTATCTGAAGCCTACTGATATGGATACTAGAAGACCAAGCCCAAAACATTTTTATTGTCCTGAATGGATTATTTTAGTACAACTTGGAAAGAATGTTAAATTGTATATACAGGGTCCTGATAAGGCAGTTCCTTTTCCGAGTGCTACCTCAACTTGTTAAAAAAAAAAAAAAAGAAAGAGATAAAAGAAAAAGCTGAAGTGCTCATACAATTTTATGATGTACATTTTGGAAACATGGGGAAGTGAGACCTCAAGAGTATTTCTAATGCAAGAAAGTATACAAATTTCCTGGGTGTCATGAAAATAATGGGTTGGAGAAATTCATTTTTCATTCCGCTCAGACTCACATCGCTGAATAAGGCAAGTTTCTTCCTGTATATCACTAAATTTAATCTGTTTCTTCAGCTATTTATAGCTAGGAAAAAAGTAGATTCAGGTGTAGATCAGTATTTAGCCTTTTCCCAGACTTCTGGGAAAACTGCTAGCAAATCGAAGGGTTAAAAGTTCATGAAGAAATTAGTAATTGCTCAGCAGTTTCCTAATAGCAGTTTCCTAAAAAATCCTATAGCATAATTTAAATCAAGCCACAGAATAGTTCGGATGGTGAACTACTACATCTGGAGCTTGGATGAATGGCTACACCAAAGGTACGCACACTTAAGATTTCAGAAGGCATAAAGAACCTGTAATATCTTGATTATTCATTTACTACATTATTGCAAGATTAATACAGAATCTGAGCTTCGATGCAAATATAGACTTTGTTTTTTCTGCTGTGGTACATTATAGTATCAATGCCCTAAGTATTTTGCACAGAACTATACAGTGGGATACTTTCTGTGGTTTTCTTCAGATACAGCAATTCTCATAGCCTCATATTTGGACTATGGTCGAACAGTACATATGTTTCTGATATCACCACCGGCATATGCATTTATTCAATTGCATGAGTTAGTATTTTGCATTAATGAAATAGTATACAGTGGCACCACTAAAGATTCTGGTGAGGAATTTCAGGAGTGCAAATTCTCCTCATTTATACTGCAGTAACTTAGAGATCAGTGCTCTCATATCAGTTACTTGAGGCTTATTTTGCCTTTCACAGAAGCATATTTTCTTTCCATTGCTGGGGTGGGCAAAGGGCATAATACATTTTTCTTTCTGGGATTAGTGAGTGAATAGGCATCAATCAGGTATCTGAGATTCACTACGCTACATTAGAAAATCCCAAAATTTATTCCAAGAAAGCTCCAACATATTTAAACATGATGTTCAAATATTTTGAGCAGGTAAGCACAACTATAAATCATGATCTGATAGGTCCAAAACCAATTAATTTTTCATATTCTATTTCTTGCTATAATGTGATGAGAAACAACTTGTTTTCACGTGTGTTTGTTATTTGCAGTTGCAATGAAACTGTTTCAGTCAACGAACTTTTTCTGAAAAATACCATCAATAATCACACATTTACTAGCTACAGGAGAAAATGTGTTTGTGTTGTACTTTTCTTTCTCCAATCTAACAGGAAATTGGGAGGATGAATTCTGCCCCACAATCTAACTTAATGGAGTAAATAATGACACCTGATACTTCAAAAGAGGTTCTGTCTTCGTGTATTTGTTTCAAGATCACTCCTTGAAGCAGTTATGACTGATTGTGTGAATAAAGACAATCAGTTTCAGCAGGGGCATGAATTACAAAGTTGTACTCATACACTGGTATTCTTGTATTACTAAAGCTTACCAACTTTTAGTGAACTTTATAACCTGAAATGTTTTGAATGAAGTCTTACATAAAATGTAACTATTTTTCTATATCTAAAGTTTACTTAAAAAATGTGAGTACACGTTCTTCCTCCTAACCCCCGTCATTCTTTCATCAAATGTGCTCACTTGAAATGCATTGCTTTTTCCACTGTATAAACTAGGTGGATTTGAATACTTAGAGGAAGAATCTAAAGCATTTGGTTGTTATTAGTGAGAAGATAGATGACTCACACATGCAAAAAATTAAAGAAACTTACAAATATTCAAGTGATTTTTGTTTTGTTTTAGGGTTATACAGCAACAAACCACATCCATACAACAGATCTTTTAACTTTTTATTTTTATTGTGCAGTATCATTTCAGGTTAATAAAACAAACAAAGACAATACTCTTATTCTCTATTCCCCACATTTCATTATTTTTATTTAAATATAACATACTATACATTGTTGCTCATTGGTTTTTGTTTCCCTTTTTTTTATCCCCTTGTATTCCTTTTGATCAGGAGTCTCTTATGCTGAGGGTGACAAAAACCAGAGCTTGTATTTGAGGATCTGTGATACTCTAGATAGAGTCTCTGCAGTTTTCTCCCACTACAGTGGGTATTACAGTATACCAAACACACAGGAATTGTTGATTCCTTCAAGGTTTGTTTGTTTTTTTTTATTTTGGTTAATTTTCAGAAACCACTATTCATGTCACAAATGGCTCCTGACTCACTTTGGAAAAGTGGTATTTCCTGATTTTGGCCTCTGAGCAGCATGGTGTTTTGAGTACTACCATAATATTTACGCATAAACTCTCGTCTGACCAAGTCACCTAGGCAATTCTGTCAAAAGAGAATTTCACTTGTACCCTAAATGTTCTTTAAATGGTCATCCAATACTGCATTCAAAGCTCACATTGAATGTTCACTGCGGGTGGTCTATTATGTCTTGTCAGTTTTAATTATCGATTACAAATTTTAAACAACAGAAACTAACTTTTATCATTGTAGTTGAGTTCTGCTGTGACTCACAATTACATTTAAAATCTGAAATTCTTATTTCCTTTTCTAGAAAAATCTCTTTTGAGAAGAAGCAAGCTGGAGATAAAGTATCATGAAATACAATGTCACATATAAACTAAAATGCTGTCTCTTGGTGAATTCCTGGTTTTAAACCAGCTGATTTGATTTAAGAACAGGAAATACAATCTGACCATTTTGTATTTTATGGAAAAGCTATTATTTTTTGCTTTTTTTAAAAAACAGCTAATATTTAAATAACAGATTAAGATTGAAGTGCTGGTTAAACATTGACTTAAATAAGTTATAAAAGACTCCAACGCCACCAGCCTTTATAGAGGTTAAACATTCTCAAAAAGACACATTAAGCAAGGCTTTCCTTTGTACCAAAATACAGTTTCCAAACAATAAAAATAAAACCAACTTTTTCACAACAAGAAATATTGAAGATAAAACTGCAGCATCAATATAATCTCATAGTTATCACTTAAAGTATTTAAAACAAAATAATATTACGCTACTTTTGTTTCTTACTAAAGACACTGCAAAGGCTTATTTATTTATTTAGTGGAATACAATGTGAAGACAGTGGTACAAATTGTTTGATGTACTGTTTTCTATTTATCTGCTCTAACAAAATGAATCTTAATATGGTTACATTGGTGAGCTATCCAGAGCTCTCTAAAATTACAGAGTAAAGCAAAACACAAAACAAACCTTATGTACCTTTAATTGAACAGACTTCATATTATGCTTAACTTATACTTAAGTTATACTGCGGTTCTTCAAGTTAAGCCATGGGACTAGTAACACTTGGTAAAAATGTGCTGGATATTATGTATTTTGAGCCTTCAGTTACTGTGATGGGTATGAAAGGCATGCTAAAGCTGGATACCAGCACAGCTCTTTGATTGGCTCTCATATATAATATACATGTAAGTAATAATCTCTAATAAATGCAATAGCACTATTTTGTATCCCCGGTCCCTCAGTCCCACTATATGCCTGTAATTCTACAAGCTGGTAACAAAGGACAAATGTGCTGAATGGGTGTATTAACTGAATAAGGAGTGCAGGAATGTGTTGCCTTCTTACTTACCTTTCAGAGGCCAGATTTTACACTTGAGAATTACACACGGTTTAATTTTAACATTTGCAATCTCAGTGACTTTACCAAGGCTGTCCACATCTACATTCCAGGCCAATGCTTGCTGCATAATATGGCGATGATTGCAATGCATTAGGTTCTAGTTCCAAATTGAAATCAAAGTCAGATGAATATACACACAGATGCATTGACACTCAAGGACAGATGTGGCCCCTTCTCTCAATTTCAAAATAGCAGAAAGACCCTTTGAACAAAGTATTTCTTGAAGTTTGTTCTTGAGTGCTGATAGGTAAAAAGATTTCTCCAACACAGACACCCAATACCATAAATCCAAGCACTGCTTGTTTGGTCTTTTTGCTTAAGTGCAAGACAGTTTAGCAAAAAAAAATGGATTATACACATTAAATTCTGCCTTTAAAGCCTTGTCTAATACCTATTCTCAGAGTACATCTGAGGTTTTGACATTTTAACCTATCAACCTCTGTGTGAAGTACTAGAAAAAGGGAAAATAACAAAGAAGCAAATGAGGAAAACATTTTGAATCAAAAAGATATTTAACATCCTATTAAATAAATAACTTAGAGAGAAATAAAAAGAAATGAAGTTAGAACATACAAGCAAACCATACTATTCGTTTTGTTAGAACAGTTTTACACTACTTTGTTTATATCCCTTAATCCTATCCATTCTTCCACAAGGCTTCTCCCAAAATGTCATTGTTTGTGCATATGACCCAAGTGCTTCCAGTAAATGCTTGCGGGTCTAACTGTTCATTGGATCATTAGGCTTGAACAAGCAATTAAGGTCTTTGATACGAGTTAGTATTCCATAAATAACTTTCCCCATGAAGATCATTCAATAGATAGTCTCATGTCCCTTAAGTTCTGTTGCAGAGATAAAAAAAAAATTGTTCACACTGGCAATAACTTCCATCCCATTTGATCCAGCTTGTATCTTGATTATAAGATATGACACTGAACTAAATAAAAGTATTTCATGTGCCAGCAATGAGTACAAAACCTTCAAAGGCTTCCCCTGCTCTTTTTTTCAAACAAGCAGATGTCTGCACTGTTTCTTTGCATTTACTCTTCAAGTAGATTATGAAATATTCTTGACAAAAGAGCCTGTGGTTCAACTGTATCAATAAAATAATTTCTTCATCTATGACATTACTACCATTGGAAGAAAGTGAGCTGAAGTGTTTTTCCTTCTTGTTTTCTGTCCTCTCTTTGTGGCTCCCCTTCCATTGAGGGCCACAAACATTTGCCTTCCATTGTGCTTCCAATTTAAGGATGCATATGTGTTATATCCATTTTCTTCGATTCTTTCCTTCAATTTGCAATCACTGTTAAACTCCTTCTGTTAAAAGAAGAAAACAAATACACGAATTCAAAATAAACACAATCTTTTAGAATTGCAGCATACTGAAGGTAAATAGTTTCTAAAAATGTTTTGGAAGACTTCAGTGTTCTGTATATGATGCCCTTTTAGGATTCTACAGTGTATTTAAAGAAAAGTTTCACTGTGTCTGCAGCATTTAAAGCAACATCAATTAGACTGCAAAAAGCGAAACCAACAAAAGACATAATCAATTATTCAGTGCATAATTATAGCATTGAAATCATAGAATCATAGAATCATAGAATGTCTAGGTTGGAAAAGACCTTAGAGATCATCCAGTCCAACCATCCCTAATCTCCCATTAAACTATATCCCTAAGTAGTTCATCCACCCTTTTCTTAAACACATCCAGGGATGGGGACTCAACCACCTCCCTGGGCAGCCTATTCCAG